CCTTTATTTTCTCTACAATAGAACGCAGATTAAAGTTTCATAAATATAACAAAGATACTACACACTATTCACGTAATAAAGACAAATATTTTACGATTCCTTATGTTAAATCTATTTCCGAAAATTTCCTTCCAATCTCTAGTATGTTTCATTGTAAATTGGCCTTTTCTATTCCTAACACTTTAAAAAGCTTCATAAAGAGAGGAAAAGACAAGCTTAATTTCCTATCCAATCAGAATGTTGTCTACAAGATCTCATGTGATGATTGTGAGGCGAGTTATGTTGGTCAGACAAAGAGAAAATTGAGCACGAGACTACACGAACATATCTCTGACATCAAAAAGAATACAGGTTCTCCTACTGTCATAACTGATCATCGAATCAATTTTGATCATAATTTCAAATGGAATGATGTGAGAATTTTGGACTGCGAATCTTCTTACAATAAGAGATTGGTGTCTGAAATGATTCATATTAAAAGACAGAAACAAGGCGTTAATAGGCAAAATGATACCGAATCTTTATCCGATACTTATTCACAGATCATTCAATCTCTTTCTCCTTCTTGACTGCTTTTCCTTTCCTATCCTTCTCTTCTCTCCCTACTTTCTCTCCCTTCCACTTTATTCTTTCCTTCTTATTTTTCCCCCTTCCCTTTCTAGTTTTCCATTTCTTGTCTTTATATGTCGTACTTTATATCTTAGCTTCCTAGAGAGATGATCAATTTCGATTCCAATTGCATTGCCTAATCGATAATACATTTCGACACACACACATAAGGTACTTATTATAAATTTATTTGTTCTAAACTCATCATACATACACAATGAATGTCGGCATTTTACTCTTTTTCGGTCATCATTATTATTTCTTATGTGCTTGTCTTATAATATCAAAGATTTTTAATTTTTGCCTCTTTCTTTTAATTTTGACTCATTATTTACGACTTGTTTTGTACCTTTCTTTTTATTGTTTGCGATTCGATTTGTATTTTTCTTATTATTTTTATTTACTTCCATCGTTAATTTATTATTATAATTTATACTTGCTAACAGAAACATGTTCATCCTTATACACACACACGGTTCGGAGGAGCACATTTGTGTCAACTATAATCGTTTCTTTGATTTCCTCTCAATTTGGAGCGAGTTTTATAGTTAATTTTGCGTCCGAATGCGAAAGTTTACTTAATTTCTTATGTTTTTATCTACGTTACAACTCTATTGTTAATTATCATTGTTAATTTATTTGTCACATTGAAAATGATCCAACAAGGATCGAAACGTTTGTTTTGTCAACAAGGATCCTTCTGATTGTCAAATTATAATTTACGTTTTTAATTTTATGACATAGTTTTATTTTATTTTTAACTATTTATACAGTTTGTCAATTTATGTTTTATGCTCGTAGCCCTTTTTCCTTTTTACTTATTTTTCTCAAAATTAATTACTTTTCAAGATATTTAAGGGGCCCGGGACTTTTTCTACACTGTATATATAAATGCGTAAAAGCATAAGTATAGATATACTTTAGTATAACAAAATTCCTATAATAGATAAAATTTCCATTTATTTGTTTAATTTCTTTTCTTTCTTTGGTTACAATTAAAGCTGATAAATGATGGTTAAATCTTGAGCACTGTACAGACGAACAAGTACAAATATACGAGGGTCGTTTGAAAAGTTTTAAGCTTCAATATGAAGATGGTATTACTCGTTAAAATCATTCTGGTACTACAATCGTATTGTAGCCATTTTTGACGCTCAATTATTGTTTAAGAGTCATTAATTCCAATCGATGTTAGTTTCTGTTTGATAAAAATCTATGCCCTCCGAGCCTTACTTTGAACCTAGAAAACAGGAAAAACTCATTGGAGATCAGCTCTGATAAATACGGTAGGTAATTAATTAATTCGAATTGCAATTCGTAAATTTCTATGATGGTGATCGTCGATATTCGATTTTTATCATTTTTACAAAAACAATGACATCGACTGGCACAAACGATAACTTTCAAACAATAACATAAATTGCGTGCGATTCATGAATTCGCGATCTGTGGCTTGGGAATTTCATATCAAGTTTATGGCATGGGAGCATACTTACTTGAATCCTTTCCTTTGGGTGATACGAAGCGCGAGTTGTACACCTAGAAATAAAGTATGTGTGTGTAAGAGTTAATGATTCCGCAGAATTGCAGCAAAATGTTTATAGCTCATCACAGTGGCATCGTAGTGAGCATTGTCAGCGGCGGATAGCCGCAAGTCGAAACTTGTATGCAGCAAGTAGCGGCAAGTTGATAATTTTGAACAGGAAATGCTGTGAGTTCATAATTATTACTTGCAATAGGCGGATCAAAAAAACACGAGAATAAAAATTTGCTGTATGTCACACTGCCGCACATAAGATGAAAGTAGTGAGATAAAAATATACTTGCACTGTGGAACTTGAAAATAATAACTTAATAAATTACTTATCAATTCAGCGGGGAGAGATCCTAATGACAGGGAAACTTGAAATAAGACAAAATAAATTAGTAAGAGAGTTTTCCAAGAGATGAATGTTTATCTGTCGTGGGAATATACTACGTGAAATTAAGATCAATCAATAATCAGCAAACGTATGGTAAATCAGGAATTGGCGACAAGTTGTCGCATTGTGCCGCTAGATGAAGCGGCGGACTGCCGCAAAGTAAAGTGGATATAAAGAAAATGCATATGTCTAATGCTGATTGATTTTATTCTTAAGCGTCCTTACTGTTAATTAGAAAGAAGACAACATTAAAGAAGAGGTTAAGACAAGGAAATGCGTTATATAGATGTTCCATATAGGCGACTTCCGGCTAATTGGCGTCACTCTCTTCTTTATATCCACTTTATTGCAAAATCAATGTCTGCGGGTAGTTGCGTGACTGTGTCTCAACTTGCCGTGAAATGCAGAAGAGGAGGAAGGCAAGCGTTGGGAATACGTTACAAGAGCGAATCAATAGTGTAGCGCGGATTACCGCGTGATCCAATATGGTCAGTGGCAACCATGTAGCGTCTTCCCACGCTATCGTCGGATGCATAGGAAAGGTCCGACAATCGAGTAAGCTATGGGTGTCCATGAGTAGACGAGCAAGCATGGCACACTAAAATCGGAAGGACCAAATTTTTGCGTGTTGTCTTATAGTGGAATCTATGGGATGTAATGGTGAACACATCGTGATAAAACCAGTTAGACATTTTATAGTATTGAATACAGTCAGCGGGCGATCGTGAAAGCGTAGCAGTCATGTTAATATACCATAGGGACTAAAATAGCAATCTCGAACAAAGACAGAATGATATTCGCAAATCGAACGACGCGTAGTAACGGCAAGAGGTGGACACGAATGACCGAGATCTGCTCGGGATAAAACTGAAGGCCTTCATGAATGATTGTATATCAACCGCGAGCTGCGTGGCGACTTACGTCTTTCAAAAGGAAGAATATTGTAATTATTCGTAAAGCAAGAGAATGTTAAACTGTATAAATAGTGTAAGAAGTATGGTTGTATAATAAACTGGTGTTTGTCTCAATGTAAAACGAAAATAGTTCTTTGAGCGCACCTCTCTCTACCACTCCTACTCACGAGAATCTGTATCGAACTATCTTAAGGCGGATTGTCAACGCAGGCAGAGTGGGCATTCTCGGTCCTTGTGAGCAAACCTAAATAAAATCTTGTTCCTAGGAAGGCGAAAGGAATTGGCGAACTTAGAACCGATACGCAGTGGATCAAAGATGATTTCAGTGACAAGTTACTACAATTGCGGGTTCCGGCATGCGGAAGCATCCAGTTACAACGTAACACAATTTAAAGAAGTGAAAAAAAAACGGTAAATCGGAGATTACCTGTCATAAGAAATCTTTTTTTCCATTTTTATATATAGGGTTGGTAGTCCAACAGTGAACCAGTAGTACACTATGAATCATTGCGATATTTTGTAAATGCGACGTTATCAGATTGTGCTGCTATCATGCAGCAATTCATATTTGAACTCCTCTTCAGCTTTTAAGATTGTGTCAAGGACGATTATGTAATGTCATATTTTAAGAATTTTGGGTTGAAAAATAAGTTTTTTCGTAAGTTTTACGCATTTTTTATGTTTTTCTTGTAATGCCTATCATTGTCATTTTTTTTATTGTGCAATAATTTCGTGTGCACATTTGGCTTTATTATTCTGTAAGCAACTTTTTCTGTTATATTATTTTACTACATTATTTAGGAGATTATCATGGAAAAAGTTAAATGGTCTACAGTGAATCATTTAGATTTAGTGAGTAATGAACCATGGTATATTCATAGATCACCTTTTTCATGATAACCTTCAAAATAATAATTCGTTGTAACATTTATTTAGAATATGACTCCTCCCCCTAAAATTTCAATAAAAATATATTCATTTGACGCGTTTTCACTCAACGAAAGAAAAACGCGGTTATCGGCTTTGTAAATCCTTATCACCTTATAAAATTACCTATTTTATAAAAATAAACATTTTAAAATATAATAAAACTAAAATAATACCAACAATTCGCAATATAAAACATGTAGTTTATTATTAAAAATAGCATGATTCATTGTACACATCCCTTGTACACAATGAACAATTTCCCGATTTTTTAAATAATTGAAATTGTGACTAAATTTAAAAAATAACTTAAAAGTTATTGTTTACAGTATGTAGCCAACTAAATTCATAAATTGTATATCAAAACTCAGATCTTCAATTTAATAATTGAAAGAGATATGAGCCCCTGAAATTTACATGGCTCATTGTTGGATTACTATTTACCCTATATCTTATTATATATTAGATTTTAATATTCTGGCACAATGTATTATAGCACAAGCTTAGCGCAATTAAACACATTTCTCAAAATAAGTTAATTTTAAAAATGAGGGATTGACTCATATATGCATCAAAACAATTGTTCTTTTGTTAATATTGGATTCAAGTTTTTTTTTAAATGTAACCGACAGATGAAAATCTAATCGATTTTTTACATATTGTATGACGTATTAGGTTATATATCATTGGAAGGATGTTATTTAATTGATATTTTTAAATTTTGATATTTTGATATTTTGAAATTGATATTTTGAAATAGATTGATGATCATAGATTTGAATAATACTGACAATTTAATCAAATTCGAAAATTTGAGAAAATCATGAACATTTCAGATACATTTTACTTTTTTATTATAAAAAGGAGAAGAACTCTGTGCAAGTCGCAAAAAAAATTTATCCTGTTTATGAAGAGAATGCTCTAACTAAACAAACAGCAACGAATTCGTCAATTGAGATGAAAATTTCGATGTCAAAGACGCACATCATTCTGATTAGCCTATTGTGGAAAATGTCGATGAAATCTTCCAAAAAATTGAAAAAAAATGGTCATGCGAACAGCTATGACGTAGCTAAGGATAATCAATAAACATAAAACCATTCATCATAAAATCATTTTGTTGGGAGCACTTGCGTAAGGCTGGATATACATTCCTCTTCGTGGGCTATCACCTTATCATGATGAGGAGACTCCTTCTTGAGTTGCTTTTGCGGCTAGGGGGGGGAGGATCTAAGAGCAGTCTGTATGGACTCCTCCGTTAAATAGGAGGAGTCTGTACATCGGGTCTAGTACCAAGGGGGTCTCTTTTTCTTCGGGGGGGGGGGGGGGGTCCGGGGGGGCGCTACCTTTGAGAAACGGGCCCCCAATGCTCGCGCGCATAGTCG